GTATAGGAATTCTAGGTACAGTTTTAAAGTAATTCTTGGTAGATGAAATTATACTAGAAACTTCTGGTAATTTTTAGATTTATTTCAAGAAAATTTGAAGGAAAACTAGAGATGAATTTCAAACTAGTTCTGAGGACTATTATCAAGATTGTGAATAGATTTGGAGGGAACTCTAAAGCAAATCGGGAAAATTCCAGGGAGCATTATAAGGGAATTTTGAGGAGGATTCAAAGTGAAGTAACCCTATGGGTGAAACTTAATAATGATATAATAAAATACAATCCTGAAACAATTCCTAATGATCACCTACGGCTGAAAATCTCCATAATGTTGATAAATGAATGAATCAAAGAGAACTTCTAAGGAGAGCTGGTAGGAAATATGGATAATAGTTCCAAGAGGATCTAATTCTAAATAATAAGCGGATAATTTTGATATTGCTGGAACAATTCTTTGCAGATGATAGTTTCAAGAGAATTCATAAGAAATTTGGAAGAATTTCAAGGAGTTCAACTCCAGTTGGAGTAAGCTCCAACTCGGATTAACTTTAAATACCGGCTGTTACCGACGTGACAAATTAACCCCAAAGCACACCGCGGCTCGCGTCGATAAACGCGAGTATAAAACAAACAAGGATTGCAAATTGAATCGAACCTCAAACCAGAGGGGAAGAACCATTCCCATACGGGCTAGTAGAGCGAGTCCAAAATCGCTTATGCTAGGATCAGCATTTTGATTCCGCGGCTCGATGCGCCGATCAGTTCAATTGTAAATATTGTATAGTAAGCATAAAAATAGTATATAAGGAAAATTGAATTGAATAAAATCGAAGTTCTACGGTTAGTCTTCAAACTGCTGTTTGTTAGTGCATACCGAAATTTCCCTGGCGAGCCAGTTAAACGATCCTTAGATTCCTCTTCAGACGCATAGGCTTTCTTAGCGAGGCAACTAGCAGAAGACGGATCACTACAGGTGATTCTTACTGGAAGTTCAGTATCATACGGAGCGAAGCTCTTTTCTTCCTTCCAGATGCATAAGTTTTCATTAGTAAAGCAACTAGCAGGAAGCGGGAAAGGCCGAGAACAGCCCGTACAGCAGTCGATTTCCGCCTAGTAATCTGTTTCGTTCGGTTGCCAAAGTTTCGCGAACCCGCACCTTCGCGCGGGGAGACTTAGTAGCGCGCGTAACACCGACCCTAATTGGAAGATCTGCCAAATATTTACTAAGCATCGTATTGATTAACATCGACGTCAACAAAAAATAATTCGAAATTCGTGATCTGGATTTAATCCGAGGATAATACCGTTTGGAGCTTACCATCATTAGCAAGGAATCAAAAATATCTCCAAATGACAAAATGACAAGCGATCAACGAACCGAATAATAACTCTATGTCAGAAATGGAAAGTAATAGGGGAAAAGTTTTCTTCGGCAATACCTTAACCTATTATCGTCAGGGGGGTAAACAACGTCCTTGAGAGCTCAATTTTGGCATGTGGATACATTGTGTTTCAGAGCAACTATTGACCAAATTTGAGTGCTCTAGGACTTTGTTTACCCCCCTGACGATAATAGGTTAAGGTATTGCCGAAGCCAACTTTTTCCCTACCTAATGATATAATCTTCTTCGTTCTTTTTCATGACAAGCAGCCCGTGCGACACAACTCACTCGGAGCGGTAGAAGGAAACGAGCAAATTGTTGGCAAGCTGCTTCACGAAGTAAAGCAGAAGATGAGACACGTGTGCTAAAGGGATTTTTTTGTTATGTCTTTTCTCGATTCATATCAAGCTATGTCCTCATCTGTGTATATTGCAACAAAGCAGGCAAGCAATATATCATTATCCTTCTACCACTCGGATCGAGCTATGATATAGAGCGAGTTTGTCATGGTAGTCGTAGCAACCGTTTTGTCTGTATCGTTGGTTGCTTTATGTGTTTGGATTCGCTGATCATAAGAGATCTTCAAGGAAGATCTGAGAATAATTCCCGTAGAATTCTGAGGTGATATCCAAGGAAATTTTGGCTATTCCAAATTATAAATGGCCACCACAAGATTTCCGAATATTCTAAGCGAAATATTAAGAAGATGTTGGAGAGAAATTAAAGCATTTTTTTTTTAATTATTAAGGATACGAATATTAATGTAGAGTACATTTCAAGAGTTTTCTGGAGGGAATTCCTTGAGTGTTTTGCACAAAATTCCAAGACTGTTATTGAGAAAATGTCTAGACAATACCAGATAGAATTATACGATTTTGAAGGGAAATCCTGAAATTACAAATAATTCTGTAAACACTTCGGATTTTTTATCGAGAATCCGTACACATAAATTCAAGATCCAGGATTAACGAAAAATCACACAATTCTGAGACTTTGATTGAGAACAAATGGCAAGATGCAGGTTTACGAAAACTGATTATGGGACAAGAAAGTTTAGACAAATGTAATAGCAAGGAATGTTAGATCTCAAACTTGGGAAAATCCTCTATGGACGTACATTTAATATACAAGAAATGGATAAATTTTATAGATTCTTTTTTTTTTCAACATTCAAAAGTTAATAAAAATATTGAAAATGCCAGACTCTGAGACATTGACTTCATTATTGGTATTCTGTACTACCGAAAAGTAAAAAAATGCAGTTCTTGAAGACATATTCAAGATTCTACTACGAGAAATATTCGAGATGTCAAACATAGAATAGTTATTAACAGAATTCGATTAATATAGGTACAAAACAAAATATTCTAAGGTTCCAATCAATGTTTTCGACTCCCGGTTAGTTCCAGGTTTTCTCGGTTGTACAAAATAACATTACCCCGAATGTAACACAAGCCCGAATCGCTTGAAAATAGTCTGATTGTGAGCCCGGTATTTGTAGCTTAGTAGAAAATTCTCACAATTTCTTAAATGTGATATTCTGATATTAGCTTCTGATTTCCTAGCAAATATTCGAATACTAGTATTCAAAAATATTTCAAATTTCTCGAAAGAACTGCTCATGTTTAAAAAATGAAGGAGGAATCTTCTCTAAAATATTAGATTCTGGCTAGCTGACCTTCAAATACTAGAACTCACACATTTGCTCAAATTTCATTTTTAAATCTCAAATAAAAACTTCATTCGTAATGCTAGTGTTATGAAACCGGTGGCCACCTACATGTGACTACCAACTGAAGCGTTTCCATCGGTTAACGAGGAACGGAGTTGAAATGTGTTCTACTGGTTACAGTGTGTGTGTGTGGAGAAGCCGCATAAACATCGCTTGTACAGAAATCCTCCGAAGATAGCAGTGGGTAGTGCCGTCCCTCCACCACTTGTTTTTCGGCTGTCCTTCAAACAATTGTACTGATTTTCTGTTGGTGATTGATTAGTTTATGGTTGTTATTGATGAATCTACGTTACGGTCGACCAGCAGATGGAAATGATGAGAAAATGAAAATGACGTTTTGCTACCTGTCAAATCGTATGGAATATTTTTTAGTACATCATCACTTTTGTGGTTTTGGATTTCAAACCTAGGTGTCGCATGCACTGGTGCAGTTTCGCGTAGATTCATCAATTAACAAAAAAATCAGGTCAATCGGCTGAAATACAGCGCTCTTCAGGAGATTTGTGTATTTTTAACAGGTTGGTCAACAGACTGAAGCACTAGTTGCTCTACAGATTGAAATGTATATTAGGAAGATTCACAAGCTTCTCTAAGTAGGCGAAATGGTTGAATTGAAAGAACATTGGATAACAAGCCGACCAACCACATGTTATAAAGTGTTTGGCCTCGACGTTGATTCGACATTAACCGTCTCCAAATAGTATCTGAAATCTATATTCGCCGCCATTTTGGAATCCAACTACACTGCCTATAAACGCATAACAGTCCCGTGTAGAAAAACAGCAAGCCGAGAAAAATGCTGTTTTTTTCACGGTGCCTTATTACAACTACGTAGACACTTTCGGTGTTCAAATGGCCAAAAAGTTGTAAACAGGGGGAACAGAGGGGTGGGGTTGTGAACTCGATAAAACAAAAACTTTGTATTGGGGGCAATTATCGAAAATTTGACGCGACTTTTGCTCTAATCAAACGAGCGCTTTTCGCTCCCGATATGGGAAATAACACTGCGACCTTTCATTAGTGCCGTTCATGCAAGCAAAAGCAAAGGCTGAGTGAAACTTTTTGCAAATACCCACCCTTTTGGGAAAAACCGAGGGCCGCGGTGTATCACATCCACTGAATAATACAATACGTTTGCGATTTGGGCGATTCAAATATTACATCCAAAAGTTTTTCGAATTGTTTACCCCACCGTTTCACGCTTTTCCCATACCTCTTGCACGTACTGTCACACATTCTAGGACCTCCTCCCCGCTTAAGACGTCATATTTGAATCGCCCCTTCAATAATCGACAATGAGTTAAAATATATTCTTCTAAAAGCATATACAGTGCTACTGAAAACATTGAAAATGTGCATTCGATATAATAGTTTCTGTGTCGCAGTCATGAGCTGATGTGTTGAAGTGGAAGACAATTTTTGTGGTGCAAAATTGTTTTGAAGCTAAATGCGAATAGTTGAAAATAAAGGTAGTTGTTTGATTATAACGCAGCGGATCTAAATTCGCAGAGTAATTGTGATGTATGTTCGTGTATATCGACAAAACGATACAAAGCTATCAAATAATACGACGCAACATGTGTAAAACATCAACATGAATGATTTCAATGTAACCGATAAAAAGACATTTTTCCACTCCTAACAATCAACATTTAAGAAAAAAAATATGTACATTTTCCCAAAACATAGTAAGTAATCCATCAATTTTAACGGCTGATTTGAAAACAAAACCAAAAAAATAAACAATGAACATATTGAAACACGGAAAATAAATGTTCTTCAAAGTCGACTGTTGTCTCTCTTTCTCTCTCATTGATCTCTCAGGGATTTATTCTTTTAACAACTAAAATAATGCTAATCATTAGAGGAAACAAAACCAATAAATACCTTCGACTTATGCTGGCCGTTCTGTGAATGTGTGGATGCATGTCGGGATAAGCCATGTGTGCAATGCAATCGGATCGTTATTCAGCAGCAAACGTGCCGCACACGCACACATACACGCAGTCACAACCGCCAGAGAGTAAACGAAAACACCGGTCCCGGTACACAGTAAATACACGTGGCGTGATTTGTTTTTTGTCAGATGCAATTTGTACATTTACGACACAGTTGGCATCATTGTGTTATCAATTTCGTGACCATGTGATGAAGATTTTCACGCACCAATGAGACGACATTCATTGATTATATATATATGCATATAGACACGGGATTACACACACACAGATTACAAAAACGATCAGTTCATTTAGGTTTTTAGCGGGTTTTGCAGTTTGTTGGTTGGTCGTTGTTGTTGTTGTTGATGTTGTTGTTTTTGTTGTTGTTGTTGTTGTTTGCCGGCGATAAAAGCATATTTGCGTAAAGTTGCCGTGGGAATATTGAAATTGATGCACGTGATCGCAGACGTTTTTAACGAGTTTTAGTGGTTGATTGTTAAATATTGGTTTTAAGTAGAAGATAGAGAAAGCATGCAAAAAAAGAATAAAAATGTTTGCAACACATTAACACTTTGATATGAAAGAAAATTCGATTTCGATTTGTTTCTTATGTTTCTATCTGGTACAGAGGTGGTGGCATAAATATATAGAAAGAGTTTATATAAACGAGATTGCAGTTTTTTAGTTCTATCGACAGTCAAACAAGATTTCATATGAGCGTGAGTCATGCCAGATTATAGAATATATTGCTTGAAGGTATGAGGAAAAAAAATGTGCGAATTATTTTATAAATTTTGCCTGCATACGAAATCTTTAAACTGAAGCTACTGAGATTATCTGGTTATTGTGATTATAATTGAATAATAATAGACGAATAGTAGTAGGAAAACAATTCGTGGGATTATTTACAAAGGCGGAACCGGAAGGGAACCCGGTAAACGCACAGATATATTAATTGTAAACGTCGTCATGACCACTAATCTAGGAATAGCCATCAATATTTGTACGTTTTGCCGGAAAATAAAGTATTGATCCTCAATATTATTTAAGCTATGAAGCAAATCACATTGAGATCGTATGGAAAGATCGGAAGTGGAAATCATAGAGAGCTGACTAGAAATAGTTTAAATCATAAATAAATAAATCGAATTGAAAAACGGAATAACCAAAAGTTGGATAACTGAAGAAAAATAATAACTAACTCATGTAAGAATGGATGAGATCTTTTTTTTTATGAAGTTAAATGTCGAGACAATGTTTTTCAGTACAATACGAACCTGAAATTCATCCCACGGAATCGATCCGCACTCGTCACAGCTTACAGCTGATACCTGTAGTCTTATAGAGGAAGCATTCCCGACGTTCTGGCGTATAACCTCTACGGTAGTTAATCTGAAAGGATTCTCAAATTAATGTGATGTTCGTATAAATGGTCGTTAGCCACTCACCTAAAAGTAACCATCGAAACCAGATCTCTCCTGCGCAAGCTGCTGGCTTCGGACGGTTCGGACGGCGACGACATGTTCGTCAGATACGGATCCTCGCAAACCTCACTGGCCACCTCGATCGGTGCCACCTTTATATTGCTATCGTTGTTGAATGGGTTGAGCTTGAACATCACATCCATGCAGTCGGCCGTTCTCTCCGACTCTCCCAACAGTAGGATGTAGTTTTCCGAATCCGAGCTGAGGTCCGATTGAACCGACAGGGTGTCACTCATATCGTCGGACATGTTGGTTTTCAGTGCCGAGTCTATCGAGGTCATAAAGTGCGAAAAACCTTTCTTCACCGAATTCAACCCGGAGTTGATGTCCTTGGAAAACGATTTGGAGTCCGCCTCCGAACTACGACTCTTGGATTGTGATGGCGTTTGTTGCTGCGGTTGGGATTTCGGTGCAGCAACCGAAGAGGATGACGGTGTTTCGACGGATGCAACACCAGACGTCGAGGACGTTGTGGGAACGCTTTGAATTTGAACATTGTGCCTGAGAATGGGAGATTCTGGATAAGTCATACAAGAAATTGATTTCTCTCGCAAACAGGAAATACCCATGGGTGTTTGGAACAGGAGTATACTGAACTTCTACCGGTGCTTCTGTGGCTATGGGCGAAGGACACTCAGTGCTACTAAAGATATTGGAATTTCTCGTTTGGTCCATAGAATTAGGCCATCCAGAACCTGTTTGAAAGTGAAAACATAGAAAATATTGATGAATCTTTGCACACATTGTCTAAGGTGAACTACTGCACTACCATTAGTAAGTAGATCGTCACCTAAACTAGCGGAATCGGGTAGAACGCTTTCCCCGTCACCACCGCTCGACTCTTTACCCGGGGTTTGCGAAGGCATCACAAGCGAAACTTCCACCTGTGGTATTACACAGCCAACAATTATCGAACTTTCCACGTTTGCCTGTAAAGATCAACGATAACGATAACATTTATCAGTGAGCAACGATCTCAAATGCATCCTACCGCCTGCAGAATCCGCTTAGAATCCAGCGACAGGAACGTTGCCAGTTCAGTCAGATCCTCGGCCAGACGTAGCACGAACAGATACTGGTAATGATCAATTTGAACACTAACTAAATTGGAAACATGCGCTATCACGTGCAGATCGGCCGTCTTCGCCGCATCTGTACTACTATCTACGGGATTTTGGGGTACACTAGATGAGCTTGCGTTTTCCGCTTTCTTCTTAACATTATCACCAATCAATGGTGGATGACACATGGAACTACGATTGGACGAGCTTGTATCGGTGCTCTCCTGGCGAGGCGGCTGTTGCTGTTGCTGCTGCTGATGATGATGATTGCTATTCAATGGGTATAACTCTAGCAACTGTTTGATGGACAAGTTGATACTTTCGTTTGATTTAATGAATTCTGAATTATTGCTTTGATGTTCGATCTGCTCATCAACTGAATCATTCGGAAACATGTCAACATCCGATCGGCCGTGCAACCATATGGTGATGGGAACTGCGTCGACAAAAGGAATGGCTCGATTAGCACCAACCGATCGCGCTCCATAGAAATCTACCCAAACCGGATCCAATTTCATGCACCAAACATCCCGGGGTTCACTCCACATGGCATACCGTGTAAGATTGCTGAACGCTGATTGCATCTGCGGAGACATAGGTTGTCCAGAGGTGACATCAGTTGCCGCAATGTGCGACAGTATCCTATCCGTAACGATACACATATCGCCCGGTTTCGACGGAAAGCCCGAACCAAAAACCAAACTTCCTTCCTGTAGTGAGGATATGGCCTGCGCTAAATCAGCCCGCGAAGCACCCATCTCCCGGATATTTGTCAATGCAAAACGCGCCACCTGTACATGCATCGCTTTCGGGCGATCTCGCTGCTGAGGAGCCCCCGGTGAAGCTTCAAACACAATCCGAGGCATAATTACTTCTACCTTGACGTCCATGTACATTAAAGTTGGCTGAGGCTCGGAACGGCCTCCCGAGGACGGAGTGGAAGGGGAGCTCAGGCTACTCGTAACATTGTTCGTTCGAAGTAAACTTTCGTGAAGATTAAGCACAAACGAACTAAACCACAGACAGCTATCCAGATCGAAGTTGATCTGGACCGGGTTGATATGTACGAATGCTTTGGATGGAGGCACTGAAATAGGTTACCGGTTAGTTCAAATCTGGAACTCGTCATTGTCGACCATCATATAAGGTACTCACATGGAAAAACAAAATCTCCCGGATAGTAAAAATAGGTGAACTCCGCGTGCAGTGTTGGCATTTCCGGTGGTAGGGAGTAACGATCTCTGTCACCTGAAAAAGTTAATTTCAAGTTGAAACCAACACTTATCACATTCCTATCATAACCGTATCGTTTCTAACACTGCACAATAGTAATTACAACATAGAGCTGTCGTTTACAATTTACACGAGCTTGAGCAGGCATGCAGCTCACGTTACGCCATCCAAATTATCCCCTTTCACTACGCTATACCTACTAATGATATACATATATCCCTATTAAGGGGAAAAGGGGAGTTAATTATAAACTCAACAGGGATAAACAGACATGCATTTACGAGAATGGTGCAAAATGAACGCTTACGTAAGAAAATTATGAATTTTTAATGAGCTCCACATCCACGAATCATAACTTTACTTCGTGCAGATTTATAATTAATCACTATCCATCTAGCACTATCTTGGTAGGTGAAAGGTTCATTTCAGTAAAGCAATATTCAGTGTACGAGTGGCGGCAGCCTAGACCGGCATGAAGCGTTTGAAACACTTTTTCAAAGTATGGTACAACATTCTGGTGGACTACTGCAGCAACTGCTCCCTGGCAGGACTAGGATATATTGCAAGCAAAAAATACCACTACACGGAACGGCTATTCTGGCTCGGATGTGTGATGCTTTCCTGGACGGGATCCTACTACCTCATACGGTCCTATATGGAAACCTTTCACAACAACGCCGTCAGCATGGTCATCGAGAACATTCATGCTCGGGAAAAGATCCACTTCCCCTCGGTGGGCATCTGTGAGATGGGATATGCCAAAGAATACTATGGTAGTCTGGAAGCCGTAATCGAAGGGCTTAAAACGAGCGAAGACATGGAGTACAACTACGACGTGGAGGATTTCATGTTAAGGGTGATCTTTCAAAATTTGTACAACTACGGTTCGATCATGTCTTACTGTGCACCGTACAAGGATTGCGACGACTGCATCAAATGTCCCGTGTCTAATTACAACCGGTTTGCAGCGAGAGTGCGGGCTACCTGCAGTCAGCTCCTGGAAGAGTGCAGCTGGAATGGGAAGAAGTTCGACTGCTGCCAATACTTTAAGCCCATTCAGACTTCAATGGGTTCGTGCTATCTGATGAATTCTATACAGTTGGTGGAGAAGTAAGTAGGTGCCTGGTATAGCAAACAGCTCGAAAATTTGGACAATTTATGGAAGAAATATTTTTAGTGAAATCGTGCAGGTAGTACATTTTTGGAGGGACATTTAACATAAATTATAGTTGATAATTGTTTTTCGCCCTACATACGTTATAACTTTATCTATATTTCCTAGCAGTGATTAAATAATCTTGTACTGTTCTAGGGGAGGCAACAATTGGCTTAGCATGGAAGTTGGTCGTGGTACCGGAGCAGGTGAACTCTTGATAAATATTACCAAAGCTAGTTCGGTAAGTTTTACGTTACAGTACCTGCAGAATTGAATGAATACTTTCAGTTGTCAAGTAGGCCTACATCCTGAACGAGGAAGACATTCCGCACATGCTGTTGACGACCCTTCAGTTCGCTCAAATTCCGGAAGGCTACACTGGAACCGTATTCTTCGCGCTTCAGAATATTGTAAACGATCCCCTTGTTCATACAGTAGATCGCGAAATCCGACGATGCATATTTCCCGATGAGAACAGTAATTTCAACTATCCCAAGTACAGTTACAGCGTTTGCGTAACTGAATGCCTCAAGCTGGCACAGATCAAGACGTGCAACTGCTGTCACCACAACATGATTACCGACGGTAAGATTCTTAATCAATAGCCAATTTATTTCCATCACATTCCAAAAACATATCTCAGACAACGATAAAAGCCCCATTTGTGGCTACGAAGGCCTATTCTGCTTGGATCAGAAGGATCTCATGTTCCCACAGACGACAATCATGCAACCCTGGCGCACGAACGGATTGGTCTGTCAATGTCTACCATCATGCACGGAACACGAAATACGAGTCATCGGAAAGCAGTCCGAGATTGAAGATCGCAAGGGCCGCTCGGTACTGTTCAAATTGATTGCCCTTCCAACGCAACGCTACCGGAGGCAAATTGTACGGGAGAATCTGGACGTGGTAGTATCGATCGGTGGAATCTTGGGACTCTTCATGGGAGCTAGTATTTTGAGCCTGGTGGAGTTGATCTACTTCTTTACGGTGCGCTTCATTTCAACTAGCTATCAAAACAAGCACGTCGATGATGTCGAGGAAGATGACGAAGAAGATGAGGAAGACGATGAAGATTGAAAATGTTTCTACAAGGCACTATTGTTTGAAATCTAACTGTCTAAACACCTATGAAAATAGGAAGAATTTAAATACCTTTTCTCCTTTTGCTTAGTGCTTTCATTAGATGTGGATTATTAAAATCACGGCGTGCAAATAAATGTAAGAAAGCCATCAGACAACCATTGCAATACTGCAGCAATAATTCAAAACTTAATTAATAAAAGTATCAAATGGTGCAACTTACCCGTGATGAACTCCTTTGGCATCTGTTTGTTCCCGGAGGTGGTCACCCGGTACAGCGAAAATTCTTCCACTTTCATAATCACACATACGCACATCAGTTTGGCGAGGTTATCCAGAACGTGTTTCTTCATGGGCGAAGCCGAAGCCGACTGCGATCCAGGCGTATTGGGAGTGTTAACTCCGGTGTTGGTTCCAGTTTGCGTGCCACTCGCCGCCGGTGGATTCCGTTGCGCCGGAGGGTGATTGCTCTGTGACGGTGGTGGATGTTGACCGAGATTGGTGGTTCTGAGGGATTAAAAACCATAAGTAAGACATAAACAGGGTTGTTTAACACTAGTAGTGGTTTGTAGTATTACCTCTCTAAGCTGGGGTGCGTCGGTGGTCTATTGGGTTGACTAAGGTTAAGTATCGCTTCACGGAAGGCATTTAGAGATTGTTCGAGCCATAAGGCCGGTGGAACACTTGCTTCTTTATATCTGTAATTGTTATAACCGTTATAATGGGTTTGTGCACAAAACACTACACAGCTTACTTTGGCCAATGAGCACGATCCGCTTTCGCCAAATGATATGGATAGTAATCGATCTGAAAACCTTGCACGGAAATCTGCAAAGCCCCTCCATCTTTCAAATTAGGATGGCTGGATCGGCCGATACCGGCATCGTCGCAAAGATGCAGATCGATTCGTTGACTGAAGAAGTGATACGAAGTTTCCCGCACATCGTAGATGTTGAAGTACCTCTGTGCTGCCGTTAACTGCTGCACGTCCTGCACTCGCGTAGACTGTGCCAGCTGCGCTTGATATTCGGGGAGCGTTTCCAGCTTCCTCTGGGCCTTGGCCCTTTGAACCACATTGGTGGATGCTTTGATCAATCCCGATAGCGAATCGACAAAGTGAAGAGCTGCCTTTAACTGTGAGTCAGTCAATACCCACAGCAGGTCATCGAGAATTAGAACCAGTCTACTAGCTACTATACTACAGTCGGACAGTTTTTTCTTAATAGATATCCTACATCGGGCTTGGTTTGTGAGCAACCGCAACGGCGTCAGACTTTGATCTTGCGTAGAACTGGCCTCGATGCGGACCGTTTGCCAGGACAGCTCCTTAAATATTAGTATGAGTCCCCGGTTTGGGTCCTTAAGCCTAGTGGCCCGCAGATCACCGAGCAGCCACTTGGGTGTGCGTGATTCCACTCGTATCCGGGACATCTGAACCGATGCCGTAAAGGCGGGACTTTTCAGATTCACATTCACCGTGTTTACGACGATCGTTATGCCATCGATGACTTTGTGGATGAAACTGTACTTCCCTTGAGGTGCCGAGAGGGAAGAGATCCCCGCAGTCGGCGTCCCACTGCGTGCAATCTCGCATGTTTCCACCGTTATGTTGACTTCGTCTAGCGTCTGAAAGGCAGTAAATGCGGCTTTGTGTTACTTCTTTTTTTTTTACATCATTATCAAAAAAATCGTACTTTGGTAGAGGGTAGATCCTGCAGCGATCCTATAATATTACCCCAAATGCTATTATCCGGAATGGTCCTGTCCCCGAATACCATTACCCCGACTAATCAATTTCTCTAAATGTTCATTTTTCGGGGTATTCGGGGTAGTGTTATAGGATCGTTCTAAGAAATGATCACTAACATTAAAAAAACGTGACTGACATGCAATTTTGCAAATCTTTTATATAATGTCTAGAGAAAAAAACAAAGAAAGACATAAGATGAACCTTCTGACTCTAGTAGAATAGTCATCACTATTCCCTATATCTGACTATTTATATCAAACATTATTTTACACTTTACTATAATATCCAGCTGTAGCTCGAGTGATCGAATCTGTGTTGCAAACTGAGGAACAACCGAATTATCCAAAATAATTGAAGAATAATTGATTCATATTAAATAAATTTCTAATCGCGCTTCCAAAAAACAAAACACGCGTCTCAAAAAGCATAGTCTGGTTAAGCTAGCTGTTAACCAAAGTAAATAAAAGTAGCTAATAAAGCGAACTTAATTGATAAATGAACTGCGGTGAGTCACATTCAGCAACAAGTGCACCATGATCAATCCCTCTAATCGAGTAGGTGTATAAGATTACGGTTTCGGTAGATGCTTCACGGCAATGGAGGCAATAAATCCAAACCGTACTAGCCACCGCTCGCTCACCCTGCATTCAAAGCAAGGATTAAATTACCGACCACGTCCCTTAATGTATGCAATCCATGAAATGTTCAACTCAACACGGCCGCATCCCGTCGCGGCATCCTCATTCTCATTCCATGAGCAGCACCATCTTCCGCCTGTTCTTCACGGTAGTACTCACCAGCGTTATGGGGGTGCTTTTCAGCTTGGTCCAGGATATTCGAAACGACACGTGATTGCACCAGGCAGACGTGAGTCGCAACCATGACGGCAGTTCCAGTAGATCGGTGAGTACATTCTCGTCCAGCTGCAGGTTCGAGAGTTCTCCTTCGCCCCGGAATGCACTCAGGTTCACCTTGTCGGGTGATAAATTTTTGGTATACCTGCGGAGCAAACGAAGAAAACAAATAGAAATATGAGCCCAGTGTTTAAAGCGGTTGGGGGTAAATGTGGCGGGTGGATTGTATATGTACGCTCGGTGCACAAAGCTCAGTAAGAAGACTAGCCGTCACCTACCCATAGCTAGTGTGTGCGATTAAATGAATAAGTATGAATATTCGCCAGGGGAGGAATGTGACGACCTGACGACGGCAATGGTCCGGTCCTATACCGACATTGTTTCGCGCGCTATTTATGCTGTTATTGTTACAGGCAAAAGGCGAAACACGGGCAGGTGGTGGTGTGAGAAAGTCGTTTCGGTACGCGTGCGAAGTAAGTAGGTACATAAGATCATAAGATTTCGCTGGCTCACATTGCGATGCACATGGTGGATAGGGATGATCACGTACTGGTTTTTTAGCTTCTATTTGAGAATTTGAGAATTAAATAATTATACATAAGTTTGCGTATGAAAAATATAAATCACATTGGCGTTTCCTTAACCTCAATCTACCTGTATACAAACTCTCAAAACATAAACAATTATCAAAATATTGCTTGCAATGGATAGATATCGAGTAAACTAGAAAATTAAGTGAATTGTTCAACCGGTTCGAGTATGAATATGGCATTAAATCTGGATTTGAAAGTTGGTGCACAGGTAAAAAGTGAAGTTACGGGACACCACTGATAAATCATCAATTAAGTCAGGCTTATTATAATCTTTTACATAATCATACATTTTGTTTTCTGTTCCCTTGATCATTCTTGACGTAGGATTACGTCTTTCGGCAACAAATTGGGGATGCAATTTCAAAAAATCAAAATTGACCGCAATTCGAAAAGTGGTCAGGTTTTGACCACATATAACTCTGTCAATTGCAGATGGATTGTAATTCTAAACAAGCTAATCGATTAGAAATTTTGCTACGAACCTGCTAAATTGAACACTTTATTAATTTTCAATAGATCACTACTGAAAATTACACAACTGTTGCAATAGTCATCAAAATTATCACCGATTGCCTGCAAAAAAGCGCTTTCCCTAACACAGATTTCAAAATTGAATTCCATCCGGTCTCCCTGAACGGTGCTTATCCAATCACCGTGTGTGGTGGTGTCCGGTCGGTCGTCAGCAGCGAGTTGCGGCCCACATGAGCATCCTTTCATCGAAGGAGGAAGAAGCCTCACCGCTACTGATCCGCATCCATCTTCGTGAGTCGCTTTAGGTCATCTATCGTTTGGCGTCGTGTTCAACACCCTAATAGCTCAGCATTACTCAACCATTACGACAAAATGGTCCTTTTCAGGACCACCATAAATTATTGTTGTTTAAGAGCTAATTTTCATTGATCGTTCGCTCGCCTTGCTGCCAGCCACATCACCCCGAAAGCTCTTTGATAATGTACCCAGCAAACAAAAATTCTTGCAATGACCGAATACCACATGACCATGAAAATTAACCAAGAAACACTTGGTAAGGTTTTCTCTAGGATGCTAAAAAAAGCAAAACAATCTCGAATTCATATGATTGATCACGAATATCTCGCGATTGGATTTTTTTTTGCGAGACATTCCTCCAATCAATTTTTGTTTGTTTTTATTATCTATTGAATAAACCAAAAATCCGTGCGTTTTGTACACAAAAATGCGTAATTTTATCATCAGAAAATAAGGAGGCGTTTCCGTGATGGGAAAAGTGGTTTCCCTAACACAGTCGCCGAATATTGATACTAAGCATTGAGCATGCCTGATGGTTTGTTTATGCCTTTTGATGCTAATTATAAGCCCCTTTTTATTAAGAGAATTATGCCCAAAAAAAAAAATCTTGCCGGATTCTCTTAATAGAAGGGGCTTACAATTTGTATCAAAAAGCACATACGTAGATACCCATCCGGTAGGCTCAGATTCTGTGATTGACGTGTTTTCCTTAATACATAGTTCATTTCCGCACCGCTATCATCTCCAAGATCATCGAGGAAAAATTTCCAGAGCATTGTTCTAAACTGGCTTTCAAGCTTCCAACCCATCGGTCTTTTTCAGGACCACAAATGATTGATAAAAGAATAAGATAAAGAACAGAACTCTAAAATTACTTCCGAATTTCAACCTATCGAACTTTTTCACTGATAACGAGTTAAGCAATCAATTTAATATTTAGCATACTTTTGCTGTGACTTCAAAACTACTTTCGTAAATCTACGTCAAATCTACCTATCGACCCATCAACTCATGAACCGGGGACCAACGGCTTTACTTCCCTTCCGAAGAAATGCGTGAACAAAGATGTTATGCCTCAGAAAATCCCGGAAGCCGGTGCCGGTGGTGTAGTGGTAAGCGTGACTGCTTTCTAACACCCCAATGAGTCTGGGTTCAATCCCCAGTCGAGGTCGGTGGGATTTTTCTAAGGCATAAAAATCTCTGGTCACGTCTTCCTTCGGAAGGGAAGTAAAGCCGTTGGTCCCGGCCCATGTGTGGTTGTGAATGGGTGCGATATCCTACGCAGGTGTGGAAGCTGCCTTCCTGCACATTCGGTTGCGTCAATGGATGGCAATCGATGTCAGTCGGTGATTGGCACTAGATTGCGGAACAGAGACCGACGTTAAATAAAGGAAAAGAAGAATGGAATTGAACCCAGGCCTGCTGGGGTGAAGACTGTTCCCTTGTTCAAATCTGCAACAATTTCAAAAACAGAAACTGCACCCGCAGCTGCTAATAGTTTTCTACTGTTCGATGTCACGTATAAATCTAAATCATAATTCAAATGTAGCTGAAATATAATAAATCAGTTTAAAATCGACTTTCATATACAGCCATTCCATAGCAAAACGATATAGTGCATTGCATTGCAACATGCATTACAACTGAATTTAAGTTGAAAAACTTATCAATACATGTACTATAGAGTATTGTGTTTATAGGCAGTCCATACGAACCACTCATGATTTTTCAAGGATTGATTATGGAAATCATAAGTTTGACTTATCGAACATAATTCATAAATCAAAACAATGAAATTCAAAATAACACCTCATGAAACTTAAAAAAGTATTACCACTGAACTCAAACATTGAGCGCTCCAATTTTTGAGCCCGTGATTTGCGCTCACGTCTATCAATGCTTGAGAAATCGAATAGGCTAGAGGCGTATAAGAACCACCAGCGATAATTATTCATAAGTAACACTAATGGAATTCATAAGTGTCTTATGATACCAAAGTTATCCAGGTTCATAAAGTCATGCTTTATGGAATTCTTAAGTTTTTTTGCATCAGTGTTTTTTGAGAAAAAGACTAGAAGAAATAGATAACATGATTAGTTTCATAGCGTGTAAAGGTAATTTATAGCAGGGGAAAGTGGGGAAATATGGCCAATGGGGCAATGTGGCAACCCACTTGAAAATTAACTTATTGGACATATTTTACAAAAAAATCTGTTGCTGGTTTAATGCTTGAAGCCTACTTCAACTATCCATTTAATTTAAGTCGAACAACATACTTTTCTCTTGAGCAAATATTCGAAAAATGTAAGACTACACACTTAGAAAAATTCATGTACATTTAGGTGCCCTGAGAGTGACATATACGAGCGTCAATTTTGACATAAATTCGAGTCATAACAGACGCGAAATATAGCTCAATCAAACGTACTTTTCGTCGAGCAACGAACTTTATAGTCTTTGAGCACTTAATATCACATGATATGTTTGTTTACGTCTCATCTTTTATGTCAAATATGGATTCCGTCACGTTAAGAACCAAAACAGGAACTATAATTAACTCTATAAAAAAAATACTCAGTACTAAGGAAACTCCCTTCTGGAGCCCCACCAACCTCTAGGAGAACCCCTTCTGGGTTGTCCAAACTCTCAAATATGTAATTAGGGAAGCGCCGGAGATGAACCAGTCTGCGGCTGAAAATCTCCTAAACAAAAAACTAGTTATTTCTAAGTGTGTAGCTCAAAATGCTAAAACTGTTATAAGATTTCTGAATCAGAAAATAAGACCTATCATTAGTTTCTTATAACTTATCGTTGATATTCCTTCAGCAGCTTTATAAATGGTCATTGCTTTCTTATATGAGACGATGTTTTCCTAGATTTTAATAAACATTAAAGATTTTCTTAACAAAATATTACTTACGGGCTGTTCATTAACTACGTAGACAATTTTTTGGAATTCTTAACCCCCCTCCCCCTGCGTAGATAATTGCAGGGCTGTTACAAGATTTTCTAAATTTGATCCGCGAAATCCGCGATTTCTCAAAACAAATCCGTGACTTCAAATACTAATCCGCGACAAAAAAAACTGTTTTCATTGCTTAAAAATACTATTTGCATACTACTACATGGAATTTCAAGCTTATTGCTTATAACATATTAGATTTTTGTCTGCTCTCAACTTAGTATTCTTTGAAGTACCTTCACATTTTAATTGAGAGCTTTCAATACCTGTACTTTTCTATACCCAAGGAAGTAGAGAAATTTTCCAACCCGAAAAATTAATAGACCGGACGGGAATCGAACTCAGTCGCCTCCCGCATGGACTTGCTTTGTAGTTGCGCCTTTACCAACTGAGCTAAAGGAGTGTCGTTTGTAACCTATGAAAAATAAATAAAAAATAATAATGTATAATCTTCAGTTATTTATGTATAGTATAAATTCTGAGTAATAATTGAACATAATAAAACACCCTTACATTATGAGATTCTGTTGAATAATGCCGGCCTAGATTTGATGAAACATTATTTAAAAAAAATTAATGCATTTTCATTTGAAATTCAAATTTTCTTGACATAACTTAGGACAGCAAAATACGTCAGAGACGCACCTTTGCGTCTCTGACGTATTTTGCTGTTCTAAACAGAGTTGCGACCTATCACAATCACCATCATCAAACAGCTGGTGGTAGTAACGCTTTGTACATTCCTATCAATGTGCTCGTCGAAGCTGACCATCCATCAAGTTGACGAAAGAAATAAAAAGCAACTGGTGAATGTCGTCTTCC